TCATTACGTGTCCCAGGAATTTCCCCTCCCTCTTCCTGGTGTTAAGTATAAGTTTCCATTGTGTTTCCTCGTTGTTGCTCATATGTCCGGCGTATCGTGTCCTTAGCATACTTTTGTAGAACCACATTTCTGTTGCTTCGAGGCTCTTCTTCATCTTTGCGGAGATTGTCCAGCGTTCGCTGGCATACAGGAGGACAAATATCACGTAACAATTCAGTACTCTTTTCTTTGTTTCCAACGAAATTTTCCTGTCTCTCATTACTCTGCTTAGCTTTTTGAATTCATCTTTGTCTCTCTCAATATGTCTTTGGATCACTGTCGCTCTTTTCGTCTTCTTTTAGAACACTTCCTAGATATTTAAATTTCTCCTACTATTGCTTAATATCTGTGTAGTTACTCATTTTTGGTAGCCGTTGTTCAACCGCAAATACCCTGACATAACGAACAGACCTTTGGGTCAGCTTACACAGTCAACCTGGGATTTCTTTTTTCTCGACCTCTCCAAATTTTTTTTTTCTTATGTTTTGTTTAAATTTTGTGTGGTTTTTGCAACGATGTATTCTTTTGCCTCAATTTAGAAGTTACTTTAATAGTTGTTTTTTTTTCTGCTTATACATTATTATTGTAAAACTCTGTGAATATTGTATGCTTGTGTGTTAGCCAGAAGTCATATATAGAGAGTGGTTGAAAGAAAGATGTAAATTTATTATCGTGTAGGAAGTGGAGACAGAAGGAAACGGTGTGTGTTCCTCTCAAATGGTGACTTAATTTAACATCCGGATCGTGGGCATAACTGTTTACAATTATTTCTGCTTTTAACTTCTCTCGCTTTTCTCATTTCTCTCTTTCCACCTCTCACTCTCTTTCCATCTCTCATTCTCTATCTTTCCACCTCTCTCTTTCCACCTCTCACTCTCTCTCTCTCTTTCCACTTCTCTCTCTCTTTCCACCTCTCTCTCTCTCTCTTTCCACCTATCACTCCCTTTCTTTTCCCCCCTGTCTTTCTTACCACCTCTCACTCTCCCTCATTCCACCTCTGAGATTTCGTGCGAGCATATTTATATTTCAGCTTTCTTAAAAAAAAAAAAACAATATTTTAAATATTTAAAAAATATTTTTGCCATATTTAAAATAAATATTTTCAAGTGAATATGATTTTAAAATATTTTTTAGCATATTAAAAGATATTTTTACGTTAATGTGAATTTAAAAAAATATGTTCAGTGAATAAGATTTAAAAATATGAGTTGTTTATACAGGAGGTATTTTTTTATTTCAACTTTCGTCAAGCAGACAATATTTTAATGTTGAAATCAACTTCACTGTCAGTGACCCAACGGGCCACGGGTAGACTAGTATTCTTTAAAATCAAGAAATGCTTCTTTTAAATTAACGTCTTCACACTGAAAACTGTCTTTCTGAGAATGATTTAACACTTCGTAGTATTTTTAGTGAGGCTACTAACCAACCTCATACTCTTTATCGTATTGGTTAACATAATCAGAATTATTATTTTGGGCATAATTTATCTCGTCTTTAAAATCAGGAGAAGTATGAATAATGCCGTAATCGTCATCATTGTCATAAGGAAGTGTGTTAAAATCAATGTGCCGTTCATAGCGGCCTTCTGTCTCCGCAGCAGCTTACACGAGTCACTCACTGGTCAGATGCAGATATTGGTCTAAGGTCAGTTGTTTCTTCTCGCGGCCGAACGTGTCACGACTGTCACTTACTTAGGCACTTGTGCTTCCACTTTCACTTTTGCTTTCGCTACTACACGTGGTGTTGACATCTGCTCCCAAATCTGACAAAAACAATCAAGGAAATAAGAGTTGGGTAGATTCGTTGCCGCAACATTGAACATCTGTAAAAATATGAAATATCCCTATCTTTCTCAATTGATATCACAAACAAACCACCCACCATTGCTCTCTCTCTTCTTATCTATCTATCTATCTATCTATCTATCTATCTATCTAATACATACAGACACACACACACACGCGCGCACACACACACACACACACACACATATATATATAGAGAGATATACATATATATATATATATAAAAAATATAAATACACCCTCCACACTCGCCTAATATATATATATATATATATATATATATATATATATATATTCATAAAAATGACAATAGGAAAACTGGTAATTTGCTGACGCATTTCATCCAATGTGGACTTTATCAAAGCAAAATACGAAAATGAAATTAAATGAACAAAGTAATTTCATTTTCGTATTTTGCTTTGATAAAGTCCACATTGGACGAAACCAGTTTTCCTATTGTCATTTTATTCATAAATATTGTCTTCAGTACTGGTTAAATCGGAGAAATTTTCATATATATATATATATATATTTGCCTACCGTAATGAGTCTGATCCTAATTTTATAATTTTGATTTTAAAAACGTTACTCTTATTAAAAGAGAAGACAATTCCCTAGGATGAAAATGCATAGAAAGTGCTTTAATCGCTAGATCATCCGCAATAGATTTGTCTCAAGGTTCTTACAAAATTTGACCTTTCTTGACACTTCTTCTGTTATCTCAGTGTGCGATTTTGTTATAAATTCACCAGAAGCAAGGCTATAATGCCACTACGTTGCAAGGGGCTATTGTGAGTGAAAGAGAATGAAAAGTACTTCAGAGGGAATTGGAAACCTAAATAGGAAACAATGGATAAACCACTACTCCTGTCCAAAACAAAAGTTATGAAAACAGAAAGAAAAAGAAAATAAATGAAATTAGCTAGACTATATACGCTACTAAATATTAAAAAAATAATTTAAATGTCAGTGTCCCCTCTCATTCACGTGCATGTGTAGTCTTAAATCCTGAAGGATGAAATACGTCGTACGAAAAAAATTTCCACTCTGTCATAAAATTTTCATAAAATTCTTGATATATATATAAATTTATATATATTTTTCATGACAATATTTTAAGCCAAATGTCATGCCGTTGCAATATATATATATTGACTTTCCAAGCATATCTTAGATGTGGCACACGACCGAAATTATGGGGAATCGAGTGAGAATCAAACTCACTACTCAGTCGTAGTTCCAGCGAGAAAAGCTTGTTAACCATTACACCGCCACGAGCTTCCCCCGTTGCAACACACACACACACATATATATATATATACGTGTGTGTGTGCGTGCATTTACAGAGAGGTAGTGTTTGTTGTCTAAGTAATCTAAATGAAATTAAGGTATTGTGGAGTGTTGCAATGTGTTTAGGTGTGGGATCACCATATCAGAAAAAACGGATTGATCGCCCATTTGTGTGGTCAGTCCGCGCTGGCACTTTTATCATGTTTAATTTCATAGATAATTGCTTGAAGAGTCTGTTCGTGACATTCTCCGGACAATCAAATATTTTTCGTCTTAGAAATATCATAATGGACTGCGCACCTTCGAGTGGCATGTCTATTCGTATTTCCAGAGATATCTTAAATTCTTACCCTCCTTTTCTTTTTACAAGTGACTCATTACTGCTACCAACAAGACGCGTTGAACTTGTCGGAGGAATTATTTAATATGGCTATAATTTTGGATCATCATTATTATTATTAGTAGCAGTATTTGTGTATGTTATGTTTCCTGCTTTGTATCCTGTAGAGCCGGGTTCAAATTATGGTCCTTAGGCCCCTATAGGAGAATTGTCATTTAATTGATAGCACATATTAGTATATGGGATGCTCCTAAGACGATTGTCTGGGCAACTTGTATATCGATGTTACCTGGGACACTGTTAATAAAATTGTCCATTCCTTTTCTCACAAGGCCTAGTACAGTATGGAATCGTTTCTCCCAGATGGTACTGATATGCCAATAAGCATCAGTCAGTTATGTGCCATGCGTGGTACACGTATAGACGATCATGTATCTTTCCAAACATGACTAACGAGGTAGATTTTTTCCCGGTTGCACTCCAAGGCTATAAAACCCGGTCTGTCCTGCTTTTTACCTATAGCTGGTGGGAGAGGATTCTCAAGGGTATTAGCATGTAAGTGAATGTAATGGATTCGACTGGAATTCGAACTCGGCTCTCCGATTCCTCAATCCGTGCTGCTATCCATTACTCCATTCTACTTCGTTATTTTTTTGTTTTTTCATAATCATATCAGGTCTGTTGCTTTTATTTTCCTGTCAGTTTGTGAATTGGCATGTCCCAGAGGATAGTTACATCGTTATTTTGGGTAACTGTGTCTGGTTGATGCTCATACCATCTCTCAGTAGTTTCGATTTTGTGCTTCTTGCATATCTTCCATGGCTCATATGTCACTACCTTATTATATCTGTGAGTATATTCATTTTATGCTAGTTCCGGACATGCTGAGATGATAACATTGAAAGTTTCATCGTATTTTCCGCAGATCCTGCATTTCGCTTTAGTTCCATCCTTGACGACTATTATTATTATTATTAAAAATTATTATTTTAGAATTCGATGTTCAAGTGAAATGTCCGGTGTTTATAACTTAATATCTTTTAACTTGATAATTTAATATCTAAATTACCCACTAACTGCTTTAAAAAAATCAATTCCCCTCAAGCTAGGCGATTATGTCACTAAGAGCCAAGAGTGAGTGAATTAAAAAAAAAAGGCTTTATAAGAAACCAAGGTCCTCAACATGAAACAAAGGATATACCTCTACTCCTGTTCAAAAGACCAGGGTGGAACGTGTAACGGACGACTGTTAAACCTCTCAAAAGTACTGCCATTGTTCTGTATTGACTGATTCATTATATGGCTTATCAACCTTTGGCTGGTTTTCTAAAGCCGGAAAAAAGTTTTAGATTGTATGAATTCACAATTATTTGCTGATATAAGTCTTACTATTTAATCCATAGCTGAGCAGATAAGAGGTGGATTTCTACTTTTCACAAGTGTATTTACACGTAGTTAAATATAACGAATCCGACTGGAATTGGAACACGGCTATCTAATTTCCAATTCCGAAAGGGTTTCTATTGCAGCACCTGTATTTCCAAGCGGCTACCTATCGAGATACTGACCAAGCATGACGTTGCTTAACTTCCGTGATCGTACGAGAACTCGAGTTTTAACATAATCTGGCCGTAAATCTCATTGTTCATGAGAATCTTGACATTTCTCTGAATTTCCATCATATCGAAAATCGCCTGAAAGTGACCTCTCTCATGTGTACGACACATATTTTCCTATTTCGCTGTTTTTCCCGTTCCAGACGAAGTCCTTTCCATTTTTTCCAACGTTTCCTTTCTTTTGTCTTTACCATATAATCCACTACAAACGTCTGCGTTTTGCCCGGTCCTTATTTTTTTGTTTAAAAGTATCAGATTCGTTTAGTTGGTGTGGTGAGCCTGGATTACAAAATCCGGGAGTCTCTTCTTTTTTTTATTTTCTCGGATATCTGTTTTAGTTTGTTCGTCGATCATTATCATAATTGTGTTTCCTATTATTGATGCTGGAATCTCTGTTCATGATTACATTCGTTTGTTTTTTGATTTTTTAAAGCATCTTTGGATTTTGACCAGAGATCTGTTTGCTCCACTTGTGAAAGAATTACTACTCAAGATGTTTAAATTGTTGCTTAATTTTTTTTTATCCTGAGAGCTTTTCTTCTTCTTCTTCTTCTATAAGCCGTGTCTCTTTAGGTCGTCTGCGATCATGGCCCTTCACTATTTTCTCTTAGTAAATTCTGTCTTTTCACTATCTCTCCTACTCCTTGTTCTGTCATCCATTTACTCAAGCTCGACAGGTAGATAAAGCGTTGTTTTCCTCTTTTCCTCATTCAATCTATCTTATGAGTATCAGATTTTCTAAGCCCACGTTACTCCTTATACGCCCTAGAAATTACAACATATTTTAAGTGTCCTTTTTGGTTCCATTCTAGAACTTTGTCGTTGCTTATGTGTTCGGTGCGTGGGATTCTCAGCATCCTTCTGTAGAACCACATTTCTGTTGCTTCTTCGTCTGTGAAGGGATAATAATTATTACCAATTATTTAATTATTATTATGCCTTCTCTTATATCCTGAAAATGTCCCTATCATTTTTCTTTTCTATTCATCGCATCTTTCCATCTTTTGCTAGACGATTCTTGATTCTTATTCTTGGGGATAGAAGACGTGACTCATGGGGGCAAAGTCTGTTGATATAAGTAGATTCGGATGAATCACACCGCGGAATTTCTGAAGATCTGCCGCTATATGGAGTCTGGTTTGTTACCTCCCCGTCACTGAGTCAGTTGGTGCAGTGGATATGACGCGTCATATTGTAACGTTCCGGGCTCGATACTCGGTTGTGGGTGCGCACTGCTGATGAGTCCTAAAAATAGAACGAAACGGCCGTCCAGTGCTTTCTGTATTCTGTTGGTGATTCTTCTAGAATCGATTAATTAATTATCATTATTCAATATTTCTACTTCGCATGTCATTTATTATTGTTCTCTAATTAACATCAATATCTACGATAGAACTGAAAGATGCATGAATGTCGCTCAATGTCATATGTAGCCTAATAAATTAACAATAAATTAGTTATTCATGTTCACTCCCTAAGACCATCTAGAAACTAACCATCTAATTTACTGACTTTTCCAATCTCTTCTTAATGCCGGTATGGGCTAGATTGTTATATGTTTGAAATATTTATAAATAAATATAAATCTCTCATTCAGCATTGCTTTAAATATTGCTGCTGAATCTGGTCTAGTGCTCCTGTTATACATTTAGACATTCTCGATAAAATCCAAAGAATCTGCAATATTATTAGTCCTGACCCGGCATCTCTTCTTCAGTCCTATTCGCACCGCCGTATCATAGCTACTCTTGTGCCTTTTCTATAAACACTTTCATCGTAATTGTTCTGATAAACTGTTATACTGGAACACACCTATTCTATAGTTAATAGACTCCCCCACCTATAATAAGTAGTAGTAGTAGCAGTCGTGAAGTAGCTCAGTGAGCTGGTCAGTCAGTCGATGTCGGACACTAAGAGTATCAGTGACCACCACTAGATTTCTCTGCGTCATTACCTATTATATCAAGTTCCTAACGTTTTGTACGTCGAACCTATTTTAGGACCGACTTAGTGAAATACAAACCTCCACTGTGAAACTACTCTACAACATAAACATTCTTCTGTTCTTTCTCCTGTCTCTTCTGTTGGACCTAGACTTTCTGAATTTAAGCGCAGTACAAGATTGGCGACAAGGACTCATCATTTTACATTTAAATTGACTTGATGTAACCGTAAGTTCTATGCTAAGAGTTTCTTCTATCGCACTTCTCGCTTGTGGAACTCTCTTCCGGCTTCTTGCTTTCCAGTCAACTTTGATCTTCAAAAATTTAAATGTAATGTTAACTGTTATCTTCTGACTTCTTAATTTTTGTCATTTTTCTTATATTCTCTAACAATTAGTAACAGCCTGCATCCTAATGGGTTTATAGGCTTGCTTGAAGGAAATGATAAAAAATAATGTTAATACGTAAAACATATATATATATATATATATATATATATATATATATAACCCACCGTTCTTCATTAATGAATTGAGCACTGTTGACTACTGGCGTTTGTTTACATTCGTATAAAATACGTTAATTTCTGTTTTTTTTTGTTTGAGCCGATAGTTAGGGTAGGATCTCCGACTGATGCCAAATCGGTAGGTTTTCGATTCCAGCAATCGGATGTCTAGCTACACTGATAAGCTGTGGTAAAACGAAACTGGCTTATATATATTTAGTTGGATTGACGTTAGCTCTATCACTGATATTGAACGTTTTCAAATAAGTACCGCGCATATATAATATATAAATGTTATATATGAAAAATTGCATATATATATATATATATATATATATATATATATATATCTTACAATTCGAATTAAGATACCATTAGTTAATGACCATATTCACCTACGAATTTAAAATTCGGAGGATTTTTCAAACCGTTTATGGTGTCAGTCTGTAGAAGGAAACTGGTTTGTTGGGGAGGGGAAGATAGAGAGAACGTCTGAGGCGGGGTGGGGGAGTGGAAAGTTAATGAAAATAAACATTGAGCGCTCTTTCTGAATCAATTTAATCATGTAATATTTCAAATTCTATATTGTGTTAATATGAGTCGCTTGGATGTTACTACACACACACACACACACACACACACACACACATATATATATATATATATATATATATATATATATATATATATATATATATACACGATTTTGAGAGAGAGAGAAAGAGAGAGATGGGGAGAGAAACAAAGTTCGGACCGCTACAAAGTTTTCACATTGCTATGCGATTCGTCAACAGACAGAACGCGTGTTCTGGTCGCCTGACTATCACGATGGCCTTTGAGTTATGTCACTTGGTAGCGTATTTGCTGTCTTGCTCCTTCTTATACTTTAGGTACGTGTCTTTCTTTGAGTTTCTTTTTCTTCTCAGTTTGTTTCCGTTTTATTTTTGTTTATAATTTACTGATTTTCGTTTTTTACTTTTATTTTTTTCTTATTTTCTTTTTGTCAACTTCTCGGTTGTTGTGCGGTTGCTTTTATTAAAATAAAAAAGATTTGTTATTTCATCTCAAAAAAAGGTTTAATTTAAAACTTCAATAACATTAGACAGCAGTTTCACAGGATGACCAGAGTTACTAAGAAGAAAAAAATAACATAAAATAATGATAACAGATAACTCCGTGTGTAACTGATATAGACATCCGCTTACAAGCGCACATGCACATGTGTTGGTATTGGGGGAAAATTATCGGCCTAACTAAAAGGGTTTCCAAAATGAATTCTGATACTTCGTCTTTCGATTAAATTTTGCGAACTAGTTGGGGTTGATAAATGCTTAGCCACACCAGTACGTGTCATGTAATATGTCGAAAAAACATTGGTGAAACGCTTTATTTTTTTTTTTTTTTTCAAATCCAAATTTGGTCTCCTTGTATATAAATGAATGTAATTTTTCTCTGCAAGGAGAAAATCAAGGACACACACACTAACAATATATATATATATATATATATATATATATATATATATATATATAATTATTTATTTAAAATATGATTCCAAATCGCTACATAAGAGGTCTCATGTTTCAAAAACAAGAGCCGAAAACTTCAAAATAAAACTCTGCACTTAAATCAGACGATAAAAGGGAAAAATTATGTAACTGTAGAAACCCAGAAGACTGCCCATTAGAAAATAAATGTTGTATTAAATTCTGTGGTATACCAATGTACTATTTCATCCACAGAGAGCCCTAGCACTAATATGATATACATTTAGGGTCCACTAATAAGAATTGGTTATTTTAAAAGATAGATGGAGGCAGCATAAGTGCTCTTTTAATAATATAAACAAAAGAAATCAGACTTCACTATCAAAATATTTTTGGCACCTGAAGGAAACAAATAAGACACCAAAAGTTAAATGGAAAATTATTGACAAGGCTAGAATATGTAAAACTTGGGATGACCCATGCCCTTTGTGCCTCCATGAAAAATTGCACATTATTAAACTTCTAAATAATAATAATCTATTAAATAATAGACACGAGTTAACGGTTTTTTTTGTAGGCATCATCAGATTTTTGGTTTGAATTATTAAATAAAAAAAAATATAATATAAAAACTTGTTTAACAAATAGCCCAATCATCAGATTCATAGTTTGGAATAATTAACTACAAACATGCATACAACATAACACCCTTCATAATCCATAGCCCAAATTAATAGTTTAAATACCTTACAAAAAAGATAACCCTTTATGAAGTCGTCAAAAACAAACGTTACGAAAGTTTTTTTTTTTTTTATATGCACAAAAACCTTTCATAAAAAATAAAAAAAAAAAAAAATAAATAAATCTCCATAGACAAGCAAACTAGACGATGGTTAATACATCTTCCGTTTCAAATTTAGACACCCCACCCTTCCCTGACTTGACATCTTGAAAGTATCTCTATACTGATACTTATTATTAACACCCAACACTCGCCTACCCAATTTAAACAATTCACCCTAGCTGTTACCATGGGGATTTTTTTCAATTTTTAAAACAAGTAAATTTCAGATATACGTTA